CAAAAATTATCTTTAAATTTGTATCTAACTAAAAATTTAGATGCTTCAAAACTAAACGGGTTTTTTTTCAGATAGAAATAATTTTGTCTTTCTTTTCATCCTTGCTTTCATGATGATATATTACAGGCAATCAGGAAGCTAAAAAAACACAAACTTTTATGCATTTTTTTTTTTAAAGATGTATACATATTTTTATATAAAACTATTTTTATTTAAAGGGTCAATGTTCCATTAAAACTTTGTAATTTTTTAATGTCAAAACATTAAATAATAATTAAGTTATAGCCGATGACCGAAAAATCTTTTTTTAAAAAAACGTTTTGCGGTGATCAATATTATTCGGAACCAAGTTATCTAAGATGAAAAAATCAAAAAGATTTATTTTTTAATAGTTCTCAATTTTCCGAAACATTGTGTGAGGATAAATGACGACAGTTTAAAGATAACGTTTCGATTTTCGTGGGCATTTTTTTGTTTATAAAAAAAAATATATATTTAAAAAATCCTTCGATTAAAGACTAGATTTAAACATCTAAAAAAGTGTGTAAAATTTTTAATTGATCGGTAGAGCGGTTTTTGAAATATTTTAGTGACTAATTTTGAAAATATAGTTTTGAGAAAAGTGTGTTTAAAGTTTCAAGTGCAGTTCACACTAAATTAAAAAATTTATTTTTCAACTTATTGATCTATTTCAGGCTTATATAAGATATCTTCTGTTGAAGTTGTAGCCTTTAAAATATCAATTTTATATTGCCAACGAGATATTGAAAATTGATTTTTTTCTGCATATAATCCCTTAATGTTCGTGGTTTCTCTTAAAATGTCAGATTTAAAATCTTGCGGAGTTAAAAAAAATCACGAGCTGCGTCGAATTGGCCACGTCGCTTATAAAATCGTGGTATGATTAAGCAACGATAACTTTAAAATAAATTCTCAGTTTATTTCGGTTACTTGTTAATGAAAGGAGAAAGAAAACGAGAGATAGAGAGAGAGGGGGGAGGCAGGGAGGGAGGGAGAGAGAGATTGCTTTTTAATAAGAGTATAAGAGAGAAATAATTAATTTTCCTTGCTTCGTGCTATTTTCCATGATACCAGTTTTGAAAACTCACGGGAACGAGTCCTGAGTCACAAGCGCGTTTAATGTACGTGCGCGCGCGCCACGTTAGTCACGGTGTCATTTAATTAAAATTGCTCGTTGAGCGTCAGCCGTTGCGAATCGAAAAGTTGTGCTTCATACGAGACGTAAAGAAATAAATTAAATCTCGCTCGCGACATTGCCTTTTAGAGAACCGCGCGCGCCCTGCCGCATTAAATGTCGCATATTAAACTCTTCAATATGCACAATTAATAATCTCCATAGATATGGTATATGTAATTGTCTCTTACAAGAAAACATTGTAAAGTGTCAATTATGTTTCTAATAAAACTTTGTATATATACACACACATATACACACACACATATAAATAAATAAATTTAGAAATATTAGTTGCGCGGCAGAAAAAACGGAGTGAATCATCCCTTGTAGATAAAGCAGTTTTTAGCTTTTTTTTTTATTACATCTCTTTATTCAAGATGTTAACATATATTGTACAAAAATTTTAATAATAAAATTTCTTTTATTTATCCAAATTAATAATATTTAAAAAAAATCTTTTCTTTAATTCAGAAGTTAAAAATTATTTTTTATAACTAATATTTTTAAATTTATTTATTTATGTAATTTACATGTACACAAAGTTTCATTAAAATCAGAATTTGATACTTTGTAAGGATTCCTTATTGTCGTCGTAACTTAAATTGTTCTCATTTCTAAACTTTTATTATGACAGTCAATCTGCTAATGTTTCGAATGCATTCGCGATGCCCGATACAGATAACGATAAGGTTAGATTCGGACCACGAGCTTAGTACAACGAACATGCGATATATCAATGCGCAACTCTTACTTTCACTTTTAAGGAAATACGTATACATTCGTTACGGCACGCTAATTTTATGAGTCGATTATAACACGTTGATTAATTATTTCGAAATTACCTCAAACACGAAGCGCGAAGTGAATCGTCGACTTCGCTTTGATTACCGTCATATATTCCAAGGACACTTCACACTATAAAATTGCCTCTGATCGGTCTCTTCCCTTCATTGAAGACTTTTCTTCTTTGTTTTCTTCTTTCTTTTCTTTAATATCTCCGTATTATCACTCTTTTGCAATCAGCACGCAATGAAAAAAAATTTGACACCGTTTTTCATAATTCGCACATTTTCATTTGCAAATTTTCATCGCGACTGGAATAAATGTTCTATCGTCTCGTCGCGTCTCGTCATACAATCCAAATTTAGACAGCTACTTACATGGCTCGTCTGTGCATTCGTTAAGCGGTTGTTATGACTTTTCTACTAGCGCATTAGAAATGAATCTATTTCACAATTATATACAGTCGCAATTATTATGAATCATTACAATTCATACATAGAAAAAACGATTTTGTTGAAGTTTTACTAAAAATTCAGATACAGATCTGAAAATAATTTTGTTGGATAATAAAAATTATTATTTTGATGGTTTAACAAAAATTATTTTTAGACTTGTTATTTAGAAAATTTATAGATATTTCAGCAAAATCTGTTCTGTTTTTATAACGTGAATCGCGAAGACGTCAAAAATAACGTGTGAATAAAAATGTATTTTCATGATAAACAAATCATTTTAAAACATAAAGCACATTTACGCTTCAATGAGATATATTGTCATTGGAAAATTGTCTATTGAGTATGAAGCACTGATAAATAAAGACGTGATATAAAATATATATGCTAGTAAGTAATATTATATTTATCAAATATTAATAAAGATTGCTTTTATTATCTCACAATCAACAAACAGCGAAAATAAATTTTAAAATTGTATCCATTGTTATAGAACCTTGTAACATCCTGCGGGATAACGTATCGGCTAACGCTAAAAGCATGGAAGTTCCGTTGATATGAGACATCAAGGACAACTTTGACTGATAAATATATTTTTACTTACAATGGGTTATACGAAAATTTTAAAAAAGTATAATGTTAATACGTATAAATAAATAGACATATTGTAGAAAGTTTAATTACTAAGCATATATAATTACGTACTAAGCATATATAATTTCTATCTTATTTCTTGTCTATCTTACCTCATCTATCCAATTCTTATATATATTTCATAATTTTTGTAATTTTTCAAAAGCGAATAATTTAAATTGGGCTCTTGAAATATTAAAACAAATAAAAATATAGTAAAAACGAGCAATTAAGAGCCTTAATACGGTAATTGATGCGATTATCATATACATATTTATATTTATAATTTTTCATACAAAATAAGACAGTTAATAGAATTTCATATTACAAAATTGTGAATTAGTTGATAAATTAATTGAATTGTTGGTGAATTAGTTGAATTAGTTAGTGAATTAGTTGAATTATTGCGGAAGATCCTAATGAGTAACAATGTTATTACTTCTTTTGCGATGACGATTAGCTATTGCTCGGATGAGTCATCTGAAATTAAAATCTCGAAAAGATTTATTTAATATATTAAATTATTTAATAAAAATTGTATTTGATAAAGTAATTTCAATTATTTTAATAAAGTATCTAAAAAAGACTCGATATATTCGATAGATTAAATTCTTTTTAAAGTTTTAAAAAATTACAAGTGTTTCAAACAAATCGATTAGTGAATTATTATTAACATAATCATTTAAAAATATAAACACTTCTATTTGCGCTCTATACATATTCGTTTCATACCGCGTTAGCTGCACGATATAGCATTAAAGGTAAATACAATGTAATACAGTATCAATACAGTATCAATACAGTAGTATTACATAAAAAATCCATTTTTACATAAAAATGAAAATAAGAGGAACAACCTTCAATGATCTTGATCTTAATAAATGTTGTCCAGAACATGACTCTGAACATTCAAAAAGTTTTAGCCAATGATTGAACACCTTTTGGGTAATGCTAACGCCGATGATACTGTAATTTTCAATAACCTCAGAGCTTCATAACTCGAAAAGAATTTAATAAAAAAATATTTTATTATAGTGTTTGAAGAGCTCTCAATAGATGATAGGTTACAAAAAATACGCCAGCTTGGTTTGCAGCATTGCAGCAATCACCGATCGGCCGATGATAATACAGTTTTCCGAATGCTCATCGGCGCGTTCCACTGGTTATGGCGGTTACAAAAGATGTATTCCATTTGACACTTACAACATTCGCAAGTATTATTTGTTTTTATTTAATATTTGATAAACAAACAAGAATAAAATTATTCCAGCGTTACAAGCGTTAAGCGAAACATGCATCCCAAGTATAGAAATTGGCGCAAATCCGCTTGATATATTCCGCCTCTGATCGAATTAATTAGCGATGCGTCAGAAAGATTAGTGCATAGTTAATACGCTTAATCTAACGACTAGTCAGACGATAAGTTTTTCGAAAACTCATTTCGACGTTCTACATTGCAAAATAATAAATCGATCATACGTACGCAAGTCTCGAGAGATCGCTCGACCGAGGCGAACGTGTTTTGCTTCGCTGCGGAAGCAAGACCCATCAATTCATTTTTCAAAAAATGGCATTACTATCAGATCAAAACATACTGAAATAATCCCCTACACTGAAACAAAAGCAGCCAATTTTTGGTTGTGTTAGCTTACCGAAATCGTATACTGCGGATAGGCTAACGCAAAAAATGGCTGCTGCAGCTATTAATTAACAATGCTGTGCTATATTTAAGTAATCTTTTCTTTTAGTGTACGATCATGCCTTTATCGTTTATTGGATCAGGATGGAAGCGTTCGATCCAGGAGGGCCTCGTTAGCGCACAATGTGATAGCACAAATTTACTCACATCGGCCTAGTAACTTTTCACTGGTTTATTAATGAAAATATTTTATTTTAATTAACCAATTAATGATGTGAGCTATCTAAACCCTCTCTTCAAATCGAACGTAACTCATATTTACATTAAAAACTATAAATTGACTAACTGTCTGTTTGCGAATTATGGACTAACTTTCAGCGTGGATAATGTAGAAATTGAGCTTAAGAATTAATTATACACGTGCTGTGGAGATGGCGTCACATGGAGTACAATTGTGACGTTGCGAGCATTAGTCGCGGCGCTCGAGTTGGTTCTTCTTCTCAGCTTTCCTTTCTTTCCCTCCCTTGATGTCATGGCGTTCTGCGTGTGGACCTCGTGAAGCCTCCGCGATAGATAATAAGTTAAGAACGGCAAGATTAACAATCACCTTTTGTTCACTGCGAGATCGACATCGATTACTGCTCATGTCATTCGATAATTATCGTCAGATTAATACTCATAGATTTTCTTAGCCTCCCGTATTCTAACCTAGCAATTCGATATCGATATCCGAGCCGTTTTTACACACGCAATCACGTCTCTACTTTTGTAATCTATTCTTTCTAAACAATCATTCAAGTTTGTATTAAACCGCCTTATGGCATATGAGTCAGAATCAACGAGTAACATTCATTCGTAAACTTAACGATTTCCCGCCAATTGTCCTTCGCCGTTAGTTAGTTATCGCCGGCGCCCAGACACGCTCGGCGCCACATTGGGCACAGCAGCCACAACATAGCCACACAATATGTATAAAACTAAATTCTGAGCATGTCAATTTTACAATCTCTTCGGATTCTAAGAGTATTCTTAACTCTCTTCAAAACATCCGCAAACTTAAACACCAATCTCATGTAATTCAAGAAATCAATTATTGCCGAGTGTAATGAAAAAGATAAAAATATCGAACTAATTTGGATTCCAGCTCATCGTAATATTCAAGGAAACGAAAATGCGGACGTGTTAGTTAAGAGGGCCGTCTCTGAAGGTAATTTGCTGGAGGTGAAGATACCTTATTTATTAGTATTAGGATATTATTAGTATTTTTAAAACCCAGTGCAATAAGGACAATGAAGATTTCTTGAAATATAGAACTAATATTCTTTATAAAGGCTGAGTATTTTCAACTATTTTCAATCAGGTAAACCATGGTTTATTTCCAGTAATCTAAACAGGAAAGCTATTGTAACTATCAATCGCTTTCGTTGTGGCCATAATTCTTTAAAATCTAGTTTATTTAGATTTAAGATAATCAATAGCGATAAATATTCTTGTGGTCTCATCGAAGATGGGAACCATATACTATGGGTTTGCAATAAATTTACCAAAGAAAGAAAGAATATGTTAGATAAGTTTAATAAGTTAAATATAAAAGCTCCGAGTGACATTAAAGAAATTTTAAAAAGAATGAAAACGAATGATATTATAACTGATTATAAATGAATTCTGTAATGAATGCAAGATCGATATATAAATCCCCCCCTTTTTTTTAAATTAAAAAGATCTTTCAAGCATGTATTTTCCATTATTATATTCTATATCTTTAATTATCGTTTTCTATATTAGGTTTAAATAGTTTTATTCTTGAGCATAAAGACATAAGCTGTGTTACCTCCAGTTATATTGTTATTTCAGCGCCATCTATTGATAGCTGCAAGGCTGCGAATGTATGTAAAATGGCTGCATTCTAACTGTGGGCCAATAAACTAAATTATCTATCTATCTATAAAACTAAATGCCTTATATTCCCCTTATATATAATAAGCTTAAGGTCCAATCAATATGTATGTCTAGTTGTAACACCAGCCTAATAGGCTCACTTTTAAAATGACTTTCTTTTTTCTTTAAAATACCTTTTCTTTTTTCTTTTCAATAAAAATAAATAAATAAAACTAAATGATGTATTATAACTGCATAATACCATGTACAATACAAAATAAAATATTTCACGTATAATGCCCATGTCACTTCACAATACATGCCCAATACTGCCAGCAAATCATGAACAGTTAGAAATTTTCTGGTAAGAGAACGCACAGACTTCTATATACACTACTAGACTGCTAATTCGTTTGAAAAAGTGACCTCCCCACCCCCAATTTTGATGTACGTATTAGGCTGCGTTCGGAAACGTTACCTTAGTGCCTCCGTGTATCGTTTTATCCTTAGGCCTGTTCTTTTATGAAGAGTACTGAGCTAATTCTGAACTAGTGCAATAAGTACTCTCCACTGTACAAGAGTTCAAAAATTCGGGTGGAAAAAGAAAATCTCGTTCTTCACCCAATATTAAACAAGGATAAGATGATACGACGGGGAACACCCGGTAATGTTTTCGAACGCATGCGTCGAGAACCGCTCCACGTAACCGTATATACATCTGCACATGCGCACACATCAATACATATATTTTGACAAATTAACCTAATTTAACAATATTAGAACTATTCAATATTTCTTTATAGTCGAGCGTTTAAAGTAAAAAATAAAAATTATTTTATTTCTTTTAATATATAATATAATGTATAAAAATTGTGAGTTAAGCACTTTAAGTGTATATATATATAAGAAAGTTAATAGTTTTGACAAAATTATTTTAAATATATGAATATATTTTTATTAAATATATTTAATAAAAAATATTCAAATTCTGTACAAATATTCTTACGTTTCACGTATGTATTTGGCACGTATTCGATTATTTGTGTATTATAGAACTATAAATGTATAAAAAATTTGAAAAATATAATATACAATAATAAAATAATAATGTCAGGAAGCAACAGGACTTTTCAAGTCATTGATGATACCGTTATAATGGGAAATCAAAGTTGTTTTGTAAATTAAACTTATGACTGGTGTTACACATTAATCTCTTTGTCATTTGATCACAGTTAAATAACACTTCGTTAGACTTTGCGATATCAGAATGAAAATTTGACATTTGAAAATTCTATTTGATTTTAAGTCGTGACACGATAATTCAGCAAATTTGTATATCAATGAGAATTCCGCAATTTGTAATTTTGCATTTTTTTGAATACTATTCTATACTTGATTATTTTATTGTACTGAGGAGGACCAGAAAGTTTGTGATCGAATGTTTCTAGTATTATATAATTTATAAACAATAAACTAAATTTTACGCTCCAGTTTTTTAAACGCTATGAACTTACACTGATAAAGAGGTTAGTTGTACACGTTTGGCACGTGTGTTATATAACTGACACAGAATGCAACCATACTCCATTCCTTCGGATTAATTCGTGACACGTGCACAGAACCATCGTACAATTCCGGGATCCACTACGAAGTTAACAGTCTAGTAGTACCTATATATAGAAATCTGTGGAATGAAAGATTCAGTAAAGTCTACTTTCTTCAGAGCGATGGCGGTACTGTTCTGTTGAGGAAAGTAGTTTATTTATATTGCTGTAACTTTTTTTTACTCACAAACTAGGCATGTACATATAATTTTTTACAGACAAATCTAGTTTGAAAATGATGAAAATATTATTTTAGATTTTGTTTTATGACATTTGAGATTAATTATAATTTTGAAAAGTTGCATTAAAACCTAAAATAAATAGTTTCAATATAAGCAAGATTTTTTTGTGAAAATGTATTTTGTAGAAAAATTTGAAAGAAAAATACTTGGGAAGCTATTAATCTTTGCCAATTCGGAATGAACGTAATGGAACTAGCGTTATCTTCTCTCTCTCTCTCTCTCTCTCTCTCTCTCTCTCTCTCTCTCTCTCTCTCTCTCTCGCTTCAACCTCTGGATTCTAATTATAATTCATTTCCTGTTAGTTAAAATAGATAGTTTTAATCTTTGCTCTTAGAAATGTAAATAAAGAAATAGATGGCATTTTCGCAATCAATCTTCATAGAACCCGACTTACGTTCTACCGACATTTTTAATTCATTCCAATTTCGTTTCTCGATGCAGTCAGATGCGTAAATTACGTCGAGTACCTGTTTCACTGGTAGAATAATGCCTTGGTTGATTAATACTGACGGACTCCGAGAATTTCTGTATTGTCCGTACTCGAATGGTGTTAGTATTCTACACGTAGTTTCCACAAAGAGGAAATCGACACTTTGCAAACGCATAGTTCTCCGTAAATCTGAACAAAGGCAATAATACATTGCTTTATTGTTTCCCCTTAATGAAATAAAAGGAATATTTTTTTATAGAATTTTTATAGCGTGTCTAATTTATCTTTCGATATGAATAGAAAAGAGAAAGCATGATGAAGTTTACAGTTGATTATAAGAGGAACTATTCGCGAATGGCTCTCAACATTTTACAACGTTCGCGGATTGAGATGACAAGGAAATCGAGCGATCAAGCAAGTCGCAGTTATTTTTCAATACATAATTCGCGGGTGTTAAACTTTTTCTATGGCAACGCGATTCGTGGCGAAATGTAGAGAGTCGTTCCTGGCCACAGTTAGCAAATTACAAACGTGCATTTTATGACCGGAAGGTTGATAGTGGGGGTGGCGCAATGCGGCGCACCGACTCGCATCCGCGGAAACAGGAGAATCAAGAGAAATCTCGGAACAGGATATATGAACTTACGCAGCGACTTTACATCAGTGCAAAGCGCAATTCATATAATTAATGAGATATCACGTGATCAAAAGAGATCTCTAATTAATGCGCGCGTTATCAAAGCTACGCGAGAGCCAAGTTCTTTTCAATCAAACATTGATGAAACCGCGAGAGTATCGCAAATCCATGAAAGAGCTGTGGTACAGATATTTACAAGATATAGCGATAATATATAGATAACAATCAGACGTTTGTTTACAACGACCTGAAACGGCGTGAAAGGCCTCTTCTTTCCACACCGGTTTCTCTTCGTCTGATATCTCTCTTGCATCCGCTTTCTCGTCCTATCCGCGAGAGAATCGCGCTCTTCTTTACTCTTGTCTCGGTGTAGCGACCCCCACTATGAAATCCCGCTCTCGTATCGAACGCTCTGTGACGTCATTGAACTGTATGACGTCATGCCAGCGACTCTCATTCGAGGAAGCCGGAGCAAACGAACCGGCGATGCGGAGAGTTATTCAGACAGCGCGTTTGATAACGAACATTAATCGGGGCGGGCACTCGTGAATTCGTTATAGACATAGGTACAAATTGTTGGCATTTAATCGCAAGATAAACATATAATTCGCGAATAAAAGAAAGGCAGTTTTGCTATGGATCACTTCCTTTTTGTTCCACGTGGATACAATGCACCCAAATCTGATCTGAAATCATTGTCAAAAATGCAAGATCTCGACGTAAATTTTTTTAAAAGGCATTCTCTCTCTCTGACGTTAGATCCTCTCTAAAATGATTTTCACAGTCGGTACCTTTCTCAGTTACGATGATATCCCGATACCGTTATTGGCCTTTCTCAACTTTCATTCGACCGAAAACTAATGTGGGTCGGTAGCGCGCGTAATCGCACGCTCTACCACACGAGTGGAGCTACCCTAAGTTAGGGAGACGCGCGAGGGCAGGGAAGCATCCGTCACCAATTCCCCGGGGACCATTGATCTGACATTCTCTGAGATGACGTCATTGTCGTTCGATAGAAACGGGTCAAATACGTCACGAAAAACGATCTTGCATGAAATTTCTGGCTATAATTCAAGAATAGTGGTTTTCGCCCCTTCTACATATGACAAGACCATGTAAGAAGTGAACGATCGATTAATCTAATTTTTTTTTCTACGAGTATAGTTAAGAGGTGCAAATTAATGGTACAATGACAAACGAGATGTAAATTAAATTCAAGCTGCGTAATCTAGAAAGGAAGTCTGTGTTCCTGGATGATTAGTACTATAAAAGTAATTAAAATAGTTAACATAGCATTTCATTTTAATTAGCGATATTTGCTAATCTGTTTGATAAATGTTAGTTCATCACAGAAATCAATTATTGCGATCCTAATTCAATACCGGACGTGCTTGAGAGAGCAGAACGTTTATCGGAAAACCTCCATCGGAAGTTCACTAAACTCGAATACCATAGCGACGTGAGATTGTTAGATCGGGGGTGATATGAGAGAGAGAGAGAGAGAGAGAGAGAGAGAGAGAGAAAAGGAGTAGAGGTAGGGCCACTTCGACATTGGGACAGTTACACTTTAGCGAATCGGAGACAGCAGTAGAAGCGCATTACGGAGGGGAGGACCTCCCACAGAGATATTCCCTTGTTTTTTCCCGGGCGTCTATTCATTTTGCTTTTCCCCTCCTTTTATCGATCCTCCAACTACAGAGCTTCTGCTACAGAGCCAGCAGCAGCACCAGCACGCCACCATCAGCAGCAGCAGCAGCGTCGGCAGCAATCAACATCGCCCATCACCCCTCAGTGACTGCCCGGCCACCAAGCCGGCATAATCACTTCGATCGGTTGGTTCTGTGTAGTTCTATACCACGCATTGCGTCACACAACTGGTCATTGGTGACGTGCACTCTTTCACTAGGGCTTGATAGAAAACGTTCTCTGGAAGACGGTCGACGCGTCGCTTGGGGTGCGCACGAAATATCGTGTACAGGTACGAGTGCCGGGGTGCGCAAGCGAGTTGGGGGGGTACGGAACGCAGTGTGCTCGCGAGGGTTGCCTGGCTGCATAGGTACACGCTAGTACAGGCGCCGGTTTACCGCCAGGCACAGGATAGTCACGCGGTTCGGTGTCCAGCTGAGTTGAATTGAACGCGCACGAGGACTAAGGAGGAGACTCATTTATATATAGGCCCGACATAGGCCCCCTTACTCCTTTCATCCTGTTTGCGATTCGTCTGCGAGGGTTAAGGCAGGACTGGGCAGGACAACGTAAGTACGATATGTATTCGTTGAGAGTAGTTGCTGGCAGTTACACGTGTTCAGAATGGGAAATTCAGAGTATCTTCGGGGAAGAGAATTTAGATTTTGCAAAGAGTAAACTCTTCCTCAGAAACGTTTTATTCAGGGGGATGTACTCCTGCCGTGGGGTCGATGAAGGCAGATGATGCGCTATAGTTGATGGTCGATTTGTGAATGTGTAGTACGCATTGCTTTGGCGGGAACAATGACAGGTGACGAGAGACATAGTCTTCGTCACTCACGACGTATATAGGTAAAAGTTCAATAAAAAGTTACTGCGGGGATGAATGGAACTCAATAGAATTTTGTTTACGGTATGCAGAATAATGGAAATGGTGCGCCCTACGTGTTTCCCGCGATCACGATATCACCTAAAATTATGAGTATTGGATTTAAATTATAAAAAAGATCGACGCGAATTAAACTTGTGATTAAATGATTGTTCGGATCTCGTTGTACAATAATTGACAAAAATCTGATTAAATAATTTGCGTTAGTATGACAAGGGACTCTTTGGTTTATAATTAATGTTTCTTGTCTGGGCGTTTGGCAAACAGTACTATTGTGAGGAGTGCTTTCAGAACTTAGGCTTTCTTATTCTTTACGACCTTGACGATCATTATTTTGTGTTGAACAGATCTGATGTATCATTATCACGAAGAACACGCAACATATTTTTTATACTATATTCTCTAACTTCTTTGGAGTGAAATCTCACTTTTAGAGAAATTGACAATTGAACCACTCTTTTTCAACACCGATTTAATTGCCACCTTTTATTACTCTTTAGAATTAGATTCCACTCCAAAGATTTTAGAAAATAGTTTTACATTGTTATACATGCTATACATGCCTGTTATACATGCTAAACTTTGTGACAAATTAACATTGGAATATATTCGTTCGCTCTGCCTTAACGTATTAAATACGAACTAAGTACTTTTGATTTGAAATTCTTCTTATTTATTGGCTCCTGCCTCCAAAGTAAAGGGAGAGACAATACGGTTAGCTTGAATTAAAAATGTGTTGGTATTTATGCTTACCGTTCATACTCTTCATTATTATTTTATCATGCTTTATAATTATATTTGAAAAGAAGTATGTCTAGCCTAAAAATTTCGTCGCGGTATCGGCTTCATGTATCGAAAAAGTGCTAGTTAAAATGTACCCAAATACCTGCTGCGCATAATTCCCCCATTTTCCCCTATACGCAGAACTGTTCAGGATCGGATACTTTTGGCTTGAAATTGAAATCGGTATTCCTATGCCTATTATCATTCCTACTCCTCATTATATTATTATTTTATCATAGCGCCCGATCTCACATGGGATGACACTGGTCTGAAATCTTAAGTTTTTGACCTGTGTTATTTATCATGCTTAAAAAAATTATGTTTCTCTCTCTCTCTCTCTCTCTCTCTCTCATATTATAAGATGCTATTATTTATAATATATTTAACTATATAAATACATGAATTTTGTATATACAAAATATACAGGGTGTATAAAAAGTACCGTGATAGCAAAATATCTCGAAAATTAAGCATTTCAGGAAAAAGTGTTTCATTTAAAAGTTGTAAAGTGTTTCAAAAGATTTATTTACTAGAGCTATGAGTTTGACTTTGGATTGCGTCGCCAAGGTTAAGATCACATCGATTTTTTAAAATGAAATATCCTATTTTTTATTTCAGAATCTAATAGCTGTTGTTAAGGCCATTGGGGATTGTACCTCTTATTTTCATTTTTATATAAAAATGAATTTTTTGTGCAAAAATGAAAATAAGGGGAATAATCTTCAATGACCTTGACCTTGACAAATGTTATTCAGGTTACAATTTTGAAACAAGAGATTTTAGCTGTCGCGTCGGTCAGACACCTTTGGTGCTAATGCCGGCGATATTGTAACTTTTAAGCTGCTTATAATTCGAAAAATAACTTAATGAAAAATAATTTTATTATAGTATTTTGAAAAAGCTCTTGATACCGTTATTAGATTTTGGAATAAAAAATAAAGTGTCCCATTAAAAAAAAAACCGACTTAACTTTGATCTGATCTTTGACCGATGTTACTCAAGGTCAAACTGATAAAATCGATAAATAAATCCTATGAAACTCTACAACTTTTATTTGAAACACTTTTTCTTAAAATTCTAGTTTTCGAGATATTTTGCTGTTCCGATATTTTTTATACATCCTATAATATTAGTAAAAAAAATATTTTTAAACATAAACATAATGAACGCCATAAGTCAAAAACTTTTAACGATTTTAGACTAGTGTCATTCCTGAGACCGAGCATCGGACGCTACGATAAAATAGTAATGAAGTAAGAAGTAGCAACGGTAATAAGCATGAACAAATAGTGCACTTTTTCGCAAATAGTGCACTTTTTCATTGGGAAGAAACTTCGAATTGTCCATGCGTACAATTTCCTGCTGCGAATTGATTTGAAGAAAAACAATTATTCAGACTCTCTTTTTAATAATTAATTTAATATATAAATAATAGCTCAAAAGACGCACATAATAATGTACTTTAGTAAAGTGTGCACGATTTAAAAAATTACATTGAAATACAGACATTAATTGTTCAGTAAATAAACAAAATATTTATTTGCAAAACTCTAATTAGTGAATTGTAATGAAACTTTGCATAAGTCATTTTTAACACTTAAAGTACTCATAAAAAACAAATTTAATTTATTATTATTATTATTATCATAATCCTTAATGGTTACGTATGAATAAACAAACTATAACATAATGTATGTCTAGAAAAAAATTACTTCCATGACTTCAATCGTCATGGAATGAGAATAGTAAGAATTATTACAGCAATGTTATTTTTTCTTCAAAGAAAAATTTTCTACAGTTTCGTTAAAGTATCTAAAAAAGTCTCGTACCAATTATGTGGAAAATTGAGTTCCGATACTCCCGATGAAGTGAGTTGGTTTTTATACATAATTTTTTTTAATTTACTCTAATTTTACATTTAATTTCTAAATTATGAGCTTTTAAGTGAAAAGTGATGTGATTTTAACTTTATCCTACATATGCGATTTTTGTTTAAATAATTAATTTTTAAATAATTAATTAGTTTTTGTATTATTTTTTTCCGAAGTTTATATTAATTTTATATTAAGATTGACATAATAATATATTTTTTAATTTTCTTATCAACATTCCATGAAACATTTTCCCTGAAATATTAATTTTTATTAATTTTATATTAATTTCTTATGATTTTTGTTTTGTGCACAATTACCCAACCCATGCATAAAATTATCGAAAAAATCTGAAAAATGAAAAATCTTTTTGCTTTTGCTTTTTTTATTTTCTATCAAATACAACATTATCAAATGAACAAGTAGAAGAATGTTTGCAGTTTGTAAAATGTTTGTAAATGTTTGTTTTTCCGTGTTTATATTGATTTCAACTTCAAAAAAAAAATCACATCACAGCAATGAATTCCCTTTAAATGCGCACAATTCTTTAACTTTCCTTTAATGATTTAAATGAGGCATTCACGAATCATTTTCACAAGTGATACGGGTGAGTTCACATCATATCTATTCATTGACCAATGACGTTCTAAAGCTTGAGCTAAAGCCGATATTCGTTGTCATACTTTTTCAGCGAAACAAAAAAAAAGAGCGCTCAGATCGATTCTAGTAGCGCGGTAAGTCAATCGAACGAAACTTGACAGTGGAAAGGGCATAAAAATAGCAAACAGAGGGTGTACTTGGCCGTAGAAATATCGTGAACGATGTTATCCCGCAATGCTGGGTCGTCCTTGCTCGTGCGATAGCCGTTACGCTGTGTCAAGGCGACTACTACGTACATGTGATACATATCAGATCGGTCCGATAATTCGCGTGCTCTACGTAATAATATTCTTCGAACACATTTCGACCACTCCTCATAACTGCCCCTTCCTTCACTCTCCACTTGTCCTTCACGAAATTACTCCGTGTCACACCCTCGTAAAATCCCTCAGGTCGTGTATGTTTTCGCGGTGTCGAGTGCGAAGTGCAAAACAACGAGTCGATATTCGATTCATTTCCGATAATATATTACGTCCCATGGCGATAACAGAAGTATGCACACATACAAACGTGAACGTATCGCATATCGATATATGGTTGATTCCCTATCTCTAGGTATCGAGTTTCGCGTTTAACGCATCGTCCGAATTATTACAGTCTCTGGAAAACGCGTGTGTGGGGAACGCGCGAAAAAGTATCCTCGCGTTTGGCGATAATGATCGATCGCTACACGTGCCTATCGCCAGAAATAACTGTAACAGTAATCGCTTTAGCAGGCAAAAATTATTTGAACGTTCATTATACTTTTAAATTTGCAACGCAATGCCGACACGTGTAGAAATCACAGCGCGTGGAGATGAAAAACGCGCGAAAAAATATCCTCTCGCATTCGGCAATGATGATGATCGACTTACACATTTTAATCGCCAAAAATAACTGCAACGGAGATCACTTTAGCAGGCAAAAGTCATTTTAACATTTATCATACTCTCAAATTTCCGACGCAATGCCGCTAAAACTTTTGATATTATACATGTATGCCTACATGGATAGATTTTCTGAAGTAACTAAAAGCCTAGCTAGATATAAATTAGAAAATAGGTCATTGTAGGACGCCCAAGCATGGTGAAAAAATAGTTGGAAAATTTGTTTTAAATTTAACTCATTTCATATGACTCAAATTTTTGTATTAGTTTAACATAAGATGAATATGTTAGAAAGTAACACAAATATCTATTATGTAAAAAATTTAACATAAAAAATGTGAATATGTAAACTTTAGAAACGTATTTTTTCAGTAAAATTAACACTTATGGTATGTTAAATTAACACATATTTTGTTTATGCATCTTAGAATTTACATTTTAAAACGCTATTGTTTCACTTATAATTTGTGTTATCTTGACACTAAAAAATATTGAATATT